CGTCACAAAGTTAATCTCCACCACTCCTCTCCCGGCAACCATCACTGCATCATTGTTCCCTATGAGAATAGTTTGTCCTTCCTTTTCCACTTTGTAAGATAAGAACATAGTCTTGTCATTACAAATGTGGATTGTGGCACCGGAATCAAGCCACCAATCGGAGGATTTAAATGTAGCCATGTTAGTTTCGGTAATCATGCCAATTTGTAATTCCGAGACCATAGCACATATGTCTTTAGATTTCTCTTCAACGGCATTGGCATTGTTGGTGTTCACTTCTTCCTTTTTCTTCTTGTATCTGCAGTCATTTTGGCGATGGCCTTTCTTTCCACAAAAGAAACAATTTTTAGAAAATTTCTTTTGGCCATTACCGGGCTTTTTGAACTTCTTGTCATTATTGACTTTGAAGTTCTTTGAAAAGTTACTAGCTTCGGCAACATTAACTTTAGAGGAATCTACATTTTTGTTCTTGGAATCACGAGACTTAGTCTCTTCTCCGATTCTCTAGTGTTTTTGTAATTCCTCCAAAGTTATATTATCTTTCCTATGAAGGAGTTTCTTTCTATAACCATTCCAACTTTGAGGCAATTTAGCAATAATTGCCCCCACTAGGAATGATTCAGAAATCTCAACCTTCAATTCACAAAGCTTAGTAATAATGACTTGCAATTCATGTATTTGATCTAGAACGGACTTGGTATGAACCATGACAAATTCTATAAATTTCAAGATGAGAAATTTGTCCATACCTTCCTTCTCAGTTTTGTATTTGTATTCGAGAGCGTTCCAAATCTTCACCGGAGACTCCATCGAGTTGTAAAGATCGTAGAGCCTATCGGAGAGAGTGTTGAGAATATGACCCCGGCACATGATTTCATCATCTCCACGCTTCTTCCTTGCGATCTTCAATTCTTCGGAATCGTCCTCCTTTGGTTCAGAAAGTGGCTCCAATTTTGGATCAAGCACATAGGCGATCTTAAGCACGGTGAGAAGGAAGAACAACTTTCCCTTCCAGCGGGTGAAGTTAGTACCATCAAAACGATCAAGTTGAACATTTGGATTAAGGAAAGCCGTCATGTTCTTTTCAACCTCCATTACAGCAAGATTAAAACCTTAAAGATTGTTGGAGAAATTCAGAATTGGGAGGATGAAAAGAATAAAGAAAGCAAAAAGAGGGTTTGAGGCGTATAGGAATACTTTCCTTTAAGGTTTTATTTGCCCTCACTTCTCAAAGTTTGCTAACGAGTTTTAAAATGGCAAATTACCCCCAAGATACAACAAACCCTTGAATATAATATCCAGCAAAAATATTGAGTTCCAGAACAATAATAATATATGTATTTTCTGAAGTCCATCATAAAAAGACAGGGATGCATCTATCCTCTTTAAGTGTTACAACCTTTCACATAAAGATACCTTTTCAATTTGATGGTTATCTTTTATATGATGATGTACTTATATCAATAGTTATTTCTATTGTTAATAAGTGCTCAGATATGTGAGAAAACATATAACAAATATATGCAATGGTTCGAGACCTTTTCAGATCACTAAAACGCACGAAAACACATTTTCAGTTAATAATTTGCGCTGCAGCGCCCCAGCGCGTCCGTGCGCTGCAGCGCGTGGGCTTAGCAAAACAGACCTTAGAGGTCTGTTTTACGTAGGCTGCAGCGCCCAGGCGCGCGTTGCAGCGCGTCCGTGTGCTGCAGCGCACGCTTCTGTGCGCTGCAGCGCGCGGGCCTAGCAAAACAGACCCAAGAGGTCTATTTTGCGCAGGCTGCAGCGCCCAAGCGCGCTGCAGCGCATCCGTGCGCTGCAGCGCGCACTTGTGTCAGCCCACTCTTCCCAAATGTGTTTTAATCCAATTTTGTGATATCAAAATTGAGAGATATATTACAATCTCTCTAACACATTCAATGATAACAATATTGGAATTTCATACTTGTGTAATTTTAAGAACATTGAAATTTGGCATATGTTTCTTTTGGCGCTAAACTTTGCCCCAGAAAAATACATGCTAAAAGTTGTCCTGAGCATAGAATTGAAGAACAGAAAGTTTTTCCGATACTACAAGTTTTACATTAGCATGCATCGGAGAACATGAATTAAAACTCTCAAGATGGCTTGTGGCTCATGGTGACGAGTATCAGTTTAGCAAAGTTTCCTGTTTTTATTTTTTATTTTTTTATTTTTATAATAAGCAAGCCTGGCACACTTTGTGTAATGAAAGATGTAGGACTCTTTTTTTCACTAATTTATATTACTCTTGCAATTTCAACTATACGTGTTTGTTTTGAAGTATTACGTAGTCTACACTCTTAAAGAGTATACCCCACGAGTTTTCACTAAGCGATGACTCGTTGGCTCTTCTATGTGATCTGCATGGAGTATTCTTCTCAGGAAATTTCCATTTCTTTATGCGTGAAAATTAAACATTTTTTGTTATGGATTAAATTTAACACTTTGGATACAGAGAATAAGAGTACAGGATTCTTTAGTCAACCTTTGTATTTGCAAGTCAATCCTGTTTGCTGGACGTAACGATTCCTCTGAAGCTCAAACTTTATCTGATAAAAGTAATAACTCCAACCACTTCAGAAATGTGCATTTCACACCATGAAAACCATGCTAAAGCCTCTTCTTCCCCTTCTCCATATTATTCTGCTTTCGTTGCTTCCATTAAGGACCACCTCCACCCCAAGAACACAAGCGGAAGCCCTGGTCAAATGGAAGAACAGGCTGACTTCCTCACCATCTTCTCTGAATTCGTGGTCTCTCAGCAACGTCAACAATCTCTGCAACTGGACTTCCATTGTCTGCGACAACTCCACGGGAGAAGTCTCCGAAATAAACCTCTCCGGCTCGGAGCTGACGGGAACACTAGACCAGTTTAACTTCACACCGTTTGTTAACATCACTGTTTTCAACCTCAACAAGAACAATCTCGTCGGGACAATTCCGCCGGCCATTGGTAACTTGTCAAGGCTCACTTTGTTGGACCTGAGTAACAACGATATTGAGGGAGAAATACCTGTGGAGATTAGCCAATTAACAGAGCTTCAGTTGCTGAATCTTCACGACAACTATCTCAACCACATCATCCCTTATCAACTGGGCAATCTGCAAAAGGTATGGTACTTGGACCTTGGCGCAAACTACTTGGAAAATTCTGACTGGTCTAGGTTTTCAGGCATGCCTTTGTTAACCTATCTTGATCTTTATTTGAATTCCCTTACCGAAGAATTCCCAGATTTCATATCAAAGTGCGGGAACTTAACGTTCCTTGACCTCTCTCAAAACTATTTCTCTGGCCCAATACCAGAACCTGTATTTACCCATCTAGGCAAGCTTGAATATCTCAATCTCACTAATAACCAATTTGAGGGACCCTTGTCACCAAACATTTCAAAGCTTTCCAATCTCAAGCACCTCCGCATAGCAATTAACCCGTTTGGTGGTCATATTCCAGATGAGATTGGTTCCATAACTGGTCTTGAAACTGTTGAACTGTATCAAAATTCCTTACAAGGGAAAATAACTTCTTCAATAGGCAACCTCAGGTCGCTATCCTCCCTTGACCTTCACAAAAATTTCTTGAACGCTTCAATCCCTTCAGAGCTTGGATTTTGTTCTAACCTCACCTTTTTGGCTCTTGCTGATAATGTCCTTTCTGGTCCCCTTTCCCCTGACCTGTTTACCAACTGGACTGCACTGATCTCTTTACAACTTCAAAACAATAGCTTCAATGGGCAAATTCCACCAGAAATCGAGAAGTTGACGAACCTTCATATTCTTTTTCTTTACCAAAATGACTTCTCTGGCCCAATTCCCTCTGAGATAGGAAACTTGAAGAACTTGATGAGCCTAGACCTCTCAGGAAACAACCTCTCAGGTCCAATTCCAATTACACTGTGGAATCTCACAAAGCTCCAGTCTATGCAACTTTTCTCCAACAAACTTGAAGGTACAATTCCTCTGGAGATTGGAAATTTGGTGGCCCTAACAAACTTTGATGTCAACTCCAACCAATTGTCGGGAGAATTGCCGGATGCTATTTCTAGCCTCACTAACTTACAGATTATCTCAGTGTTCACAAATAATTTGTCAGGAAGAATTCCCCGTGATTTTGGAAAGAATACTCCTAACTTGACAGTTGTAAGCTTTTCCAACAACACTTTCTCAGGAGTGATTCCCAGAGATCTTGGAAAATTAAGTGAGTTAATGATTCTGGCCCTCTCTAACAATGACTTTGTTGGGGAAATTCCGTCGGAACTGGGAGATCTACGCATGTTGTCCAGACTCAATCTTAGAAACAACCATTTCACTGGGGAAGTCCCTAAAAGTCTAGGCAAACTTACTTCTTTAAACACTCTTGACCTATCGGCAAACCATCTAACAGGGAGCATACCAGGAGAGCTTAGTTATTGCGTACGAATACAAAGATTAAACCTTAGCCATAACTTGATATCAGGTAAAATACCGGTTGAGCTTAGCTACACACGAGTCCTGAATGAATTGGATCTTTCTTTCAACAATTTGAACGGTCCAGTTCCATACGCATTCCAAAACTTGCCAGCAACCGCCTTTGTTGAAAACTCCGGGTTGTGTGGAAATGTTTCGGGACTTAATCCATGCACAGAAGATTACTCAAGCAAGAGGTCTAGCGACATAAGCAACGAGATTATTATTGTTATCTTTGTTCCTGCTGGCCTTATACTAGCGCTTGCGACTGCTTCTGTTATAGTTCTTATACTACGACACAGATCTAGATTTCTCGATGAGAAAACTAAAAGCTTTAACCAGCTTGAGTGTTCTGAGCCAACCATATGGGCTAAAGAAGGTAAATTCACTCTTGGGGCAATCATCAAGGCCATCGAAGACTTCAGCGACGAGAGTTGCATCGGAAAAGGAGGATTTGGCACCGTTTACAAGGCGGTTTTGCCTTCGGGTTTGGCCGTTGCAGTCAAACGGCTGGACATTACAGGCTCTCTTGACATGGTTCCAAACGTAAATAGTCAAAGTTTCCAGAGTGAGATTCGGACTCTTGCAGAAATCCGCCACAGGAACATCATTAAACTCTACGGCTTCTGTTCTTGGAAGGGTTGCATCTACTTGGTGTACGAATTCGTAGAGATAGGTAGTCTGGCGAGGGTATTATACGAGCTAGAGAGAAACGTAGATCTTGGATGGGAAACAAGGGTTAGAATTGTGCGAGGATTGGCACATGCAATTTCGTATTTGCATCACGCCTGTTTCCCGCCAATCGTGCACCGTGACGTGACTTTGAACAACATTTTGCTCGACCAAGATTTGGAGCCACTTTTATCTGATTTTGGTACGGCCAGACTTTTGAGCCCAGATTCATCCAACTGGACCAACATTGCTGGGTCTTATGGCTACATTGCTCCAGGTAACATTTATGAAAGAGCATTCTTGGTTATCAATATTGATTATGATCACACAAGACAATAAGGTGCAAATTATCCTACCTAAAGAGCAGTGCTATATAATGAACACTATTTGTATCCTCATGTTATGTCAAATTACAATTTTCTTCCTTTTGATGAATTCACATAGCAAAAGTTGTTCATCATGTGATAATAGTACATAAGTATTACATGATAAATATATGATTAACTCAGTCCCACACTTTGACATAGTGCTTCAATGCATCGCAACATATGTCGTTGTGACACATCAATGCAGCCTTTTCTTTTGCTCGTGTTGCAAAATTTCACATGTTTTCATTTTTTTTTTAAGAACTCTCAAAAGTTTGGTAAAGTAGTTTTGATTATCTACAGAGATGTCGCAGACAATGAGGGTGACAGAAAAGTGTGATACATACAGTTTTGGGGTGGTGGCACTAGAGATCATGATGGGAAGGCACCCGGGGGAGCTGCTGCAATCTCTATTGGCATCCTCATCAAGAACATTTTCACAGAATGGTGAAGATTTGCTCTTGAAGGATGTCTTGGACCAAGGGCTTTTGTCGCCGGCAGGTGAATTAGCAGAGGCAGTGGTGGTGGTGGTGACTTTAGCCTTTGCATGCGCGAGTACGAATCCAAGAGCACGACCCACCATGCATTTTGTGGCACAAGAACTGTCAAAACCTACCTTGCCTTACCCGTCTGAGCCATTCGATGTCATAACCATTGATAAGCTAATTAAACGCGGTGCATAGATGAAGAATTTGCTGTAATGGGTTTATTTATTTATTTATTTCCGCATGTTTGTTGTGTTGTGAGAGTCTTAGTCTCTAGGCCCCACTTATGAACTTCGTTTCCTTTTTTTTTTTACTCGAATAAACTTCTTTGTTTCTCAGGCCTTGTTTTGATTTTGGGGCCTTGGTTCTTAATTAATATCAAATTTTTAATTTGCTTAAATACTTGACTGAGCTTGCCAACAACAACCCTTGAAAACATAAGGCATATAAATAGTAACATTTTTTAATATAAATGCACAAGAATCAACAAGGAGAAAGGAAAAATACATATATATATATATATATATACATACATACTGTAGTGACCAAGAAAAATCCCATAATTTTAATAATATAATTCATGTATTCAAGTCAAGGATTTTCCTGGAAAATCATTATACTATGTACATTTTGTGATTGAAGGATTTATGGAATTAACATCTGCATTCCTAAATTCTGTAGCAGATTTCACGTTAAGTTCACAATTTTTTGATCAAGTAAATTCGATCGATAAATTCTCACCGTACATTAAAACGGAAGAATTTCCAGTATAGATACAGTTAGAGAATCTTAATTTTAAGAATCTCCCAGCACAGTACAACCTAGCATCCAGAACCCGTATACAAGAGAAAATAACTGTCAGTATAATTTTGGACAGTTTTAATGAGTAAGTTAAGGGAATGGACAAAAGTACAAGGTGTAGGTTAGTGTGTGTGATTTGATGAGATGTGATGAGAGAGGTGAATAGGACTAATGATTAGTTTTTTTTCTCCTTTTTCTCTTCACTTGGCCGGCCATCCTTAGGGATTTATATCCCAAAATTTTGGTTAAATGTTGAGTGTGCTAGAGGATTGATGTGATAGTAATGATTGAAAGGAAATCATGACATTTCTTCCTTCACTTTTTCTCTTCACTTGGCCGGCCATCCTTAGGGATTTATATCCCAAAATTTTGGTTAAATGTTGAGTGTGTTAGAGGATTGATGTGATAGTAATGATTGAAAGTAAATCATGACATTTCTTCCTTCACTTTTCTCTTCACTTGGCCGGCCATCTTCAAGGGGTTTAAGCAAAATTTTGTTAGTTAAGTAGACTAAAGGAGGTAATAACCTAGAGGTCTATAAATAGAACCAATGTGATCTAAGCCTAACTTTTGCTTTATCTCACTTCCTTCTCCATATCCAAAACCGGTTCTCCAAAGCTCCAACCCTCAAGTTTTCTAAACTTTTCCCTCACCAAAACCAAGCCATCCCTTACCTCACACACACTCAAAAGTTCCCATAAATCTCACCACAAATCCTAGTTTAAGTTGAAGGAGAAAAGGAGGAGTCTAGACAAACATTTCTCCAAGGGTAAAAACTCTAAAATTCTCT